CCGTAACCGAAACCCATTTCCAACACCAATTTTCGGTTAACGTATGGGCGGAATTGTTGGCAATCACTTTATTGGCCCATTCTTCTTGCCGGGACGACTTGATGGACAGACTTACCTCAATTTTCTTCAACAACAGTTGCCTTTGCTGCTTGATGATGTTCCGTTAGTAATAAGAAACAATATGTGGTACATGAATGATGGTGCACCAGCACATTCCATTGTAGCGGTTCGTAATTATTTACAAACTGTTTATCCAAATCGTTGGATTGGCCGCGGTGGGCCAAGAATGGCTACCAAGGTCCATAGACCTCAACAGTTTAGATTTCTTTCTGCGGGGCTATCTTAAGACACAAGTCCCATTAACACTGTAGAGGAATTAATAGAAAGAATAGTTGCAGCTTGTGATATAATAAAAAATACTCCAGGGATATTTCAACGAGTGCGGAAGCATGCATACTAAGTGAAGGGGGCCATTTTCAACAATTGTTGTAATCATTTTGTTGGCTTTAGTGTTATGTTTATTGTGTCAGTTGTTGTTGTTCATTATTCGTTTAATTTTTCCAATTTAACTAATAATAATTTTGCAAGTTAGGCAACAGGACGGTTTTTATTATTTTACTCAAAAATGGAACATCGAAGGAAAACAGTTCGAGAGAAATCATTTGTTTTAAATTGAACGAGGAATTCAAAAATAATCTTCATTTGGCAAAAACCATTGTCGTACCATTTTTTTTTAAATATCGAAGTCAATACCCGTACACGCGCCACTGTTAAAACTAAAAATTATTTTTGCATTGAAAAATATGCAACTTTATTAACTTTCCCTACTAAATATCAGTGAAATATATGCGCGGTTCTGAAAATATTAATTAATTTTCAATTTTTTCCTAAAACCTCAACACCCCGAGTTTTTGTAAAGAAACATTTTTGGACCACAGTTTATAAAGCAAACTAACCTTAATTTTTCATGCAGATTCACACCCTTAAATATTCGCATATCATTAAGGAATACCATGTATAAATAACTAATATACACTAATAAACTCTGTCAGGATACTTGACATGATTTTATTGTGGAATTTGTAAATTATTGATAGTTACTGGTGGACAGGTTTTTCTACATGATGTGAATGTCTCAGGTGCGGACTTGGTTTCATTAACCTTTTGCGCCGTTTCTTCAGCAAGTCCTCAATTTGGACCAAGTTTCTCTGGAGGCCTTATGAAACTATGTCTATATTCTCATGTGATGCGGAGTATCGTCTTTATATGTTCCTGTGCATACATCATTTGCAATTGGTACACCAAAGGTAGAAAGTGGGGCCTATGACACTTCCTGTGGGACTCCTGAACCGATAGGCTTAATGGTTGTGGATTCATTACGATGCTTCACGTATTTATCAGGTAGGATTTCAGAAGCAAGCAATGGGGATAAGGGAGTTGTTTTAATTTGAAGTATAGGCCTTTACGTCAAACTTTGTCAAATGTTTGGAGACATCGAGAAATGTAGACGAACAGTGTCTGCTATTGTTAAAACCCGCAAGTGCGTTATAAATAAAATTTTACCTTATGGTTAAAAACACGTACTGTAGAAAAATGCTGTATCAGTAGGGATGCCAGTTTTGCCACACATTTCTGATTGGCTAATGAAAGCCATATGTATGAAAAAAATTATGATATAAATGATTCCTGTCCTGACAAGTTGTTTATGGACTGACCGCTTACCTAGAAAAATTCTTTATACTTCCCGACACTCAGTCCGGATTTAGAAAAAAATATAGTACAACATCTGCCCTACTTAATCTGCAAGACAATATTTGAAGTGTCTTAGATAAGAAAATGGCACTAGCCTTAATCTCTATAGACTATTCGAAAGCCTTTGACAGCATCAATCATAAATTATTACTTGCTAAATTAAATTACACAGGTCTTGACAGTGTATCCCTTCCATTTTTCGACAGTTAACTTCATCAAAGACCTAAGTGTGTTTTTCTCAATCAAGAAATGTCTCAAGTGACAATAATTCCCTCAGGCGTACCTCAGGGCTCTGTATTGGGGCCGCTTCGGTTCCTCATATATACGTTCGACTTAAGCAAAAGTATTGATAATTCTCATGTCCAGTCATTTGCAGACGATACGCAATTGCTTCATTATTTTAACCCAGATAATGTCAATAATACTACTCAAACTTTACAAAACGATGTTAAAAAATTAATAAAATACCCTTTAGATCACAATCTACTTATTAATCCACAAAAACCTAAAATGTTATTATTTTGCGCACAAAGAAAAACATACAATGTAACACAGCTCTTGAACATTCAGATAAATAACCAAATCTTGCAATTTTCTGATTCTGCAAAAATTCTTGGTGTTGTTTTTGAAAATTAAGGTTTATTGAACATGTTAAAAGTCTATCTCAGAAAACCTACCTACGGCTGCGCACTCTTGTAGCAAACAGGTATTTACTTAATTTTAAGTTGCGTAAAAAACTATATGAAGCATTGGTCATATCTATACTAAATTATTGTAATATCTAATACTATACTTGTTTAGACAATTTCACTAAAAACGTTATTCAAGTTATTCAAAACAATTGTATACGATTCATTTTTGGCTTACGTAAATTTGATCATGTATCAGCGAAATATCCCGTTCTAAACTGGTTAAAAATTAATGACATGGTCAAGTATCACTATTCAGGTTTTGTTCACAAGTTGCTGCTCACATCTAAACCTTATTACTTGAAGGAAAAAATTTCATTTAATAATGATGTTCACTGTATAACTCTCAGAGAAAATAATATTAGAATACCCCCGCATACGTCTACACTTTTTAAACGCAGTTTTTCTTACAATGTTGCTATTATTTATAATGACCTTCCTAAAGTATATAAAGAATTTTAATTACCTGTCTTTCGACAAAAAGTTAAAACATTATTACTCAACCCTCCAAACATATAATTTATGTAATCATTAATTTCTTTTTTATTCCATCTTTAGTTCAGATTAATAATTTTTTGGTGCATTTGGGATTGGAAAGTATGCCTTCTTCTCTTTTTTTAAATTTTACTTTCGCTGTAATGAACCAAATCTGTTTGTGGATAGTGTATTCTTTTGAACATCTGCTAGAGACTATATGGTTAAGTGTAAGAGTAGCAGCATGCTAAACTTCGCTATGTAAGTCTGACATTTGGCTTTACTACAATGTAATTGTGGATAAATAAAGACGTCTATTATTATTATGATTATTTACCAGTTTTCGCATAGCTCTGGTATAAAATCGGAACATAAAAATGTCCGCCATTACAGCAACACCATGTTGGTCTCATTACTCACAGCCGGTCCCCGTCGTGTCAGATATCGTTATAAAACGCTGTCACTATATATTTTTCCAGCAGAAGCTTTATGATTGCAATAAATATCTTGATAAACGATCTTTTAAATTATAACTGTTATAGATATTTGCCCACTCGACTCCAGGGAGGAGCCCAACATAATTTATGAGGCCATTTATCAACGTTCCACACCCTCTGTTAACTGCAAGCCAATTCTAGATGTGAGATCGGCCGATATCAGCACGCTCGGAACTGCTATATAGCCTGAGATTTTTAGACGTAATCGCGAGAAAGACAGGAAATTAAACTTCTTGTAGAAATTAGTCAGGGGTCTCTGGAGATTCACTGCAGCCATTTATCTGTGGGAGCTTAGAACGAGGAACATTTGTTTTAACCTGATATGCTACCCTTTATCGCGCGAGAACTTCTTCGCCAGCAGTCGCAGCAGTGAAGAGGCATATTACGGGTTCAATACCTGAGATTTCAGATTTTTCAAGAACCGTCAATAACGTTCAAACTCAATCACATTTAATGGTATTTCACTATTTGACTTGAATCTGCCACTGAAATGACGTAATATTTTAATCTCTAGGATGCATCTTTATCAGAAGAAATCGGGTAATCGATCAATCCAAATAGTCAAAAATGGGTCCTCTTTTAGAAAAAAAATTTACAAAGAATTCATATACTTAGGGGTAAATGAAAAGGTCTCTCACCTGGATTATCAAATAATTTTGTTGGGTACCTTTTTTATGAAGTCGGAAAAAAGCCGATCTTAGTTTAACATCAATAACGTTCAAAATTAATCAACATCTAATGGCATTTTACTATTTGGCTTAAATCTGTCACTGAAATGACGTAACATTTTAATCTCTATAATGAATCTTTATTAGAAGAAATCAGATAATTGATCAATCTAAATAGTCAAAAATGGAACCTATTTTAGGAAAAAAAATTCAAAGAATCATATCCTTGGTGGTAAATGGAAAGGTCGCTCATATAGATTAGCAAATAATTTTGTTGGTTACGTTTTTCATGAAGTTGGAAAAAACACTTTTTCCTAGATTTAAGACACTATGAGGTGTTTGCGTAACGGTTCCAGAGAAAAGTTGTACCGTAAAGTGGGGCTACTTTGTAACACTTTTTTAGGTTTATTGATGATTTATTCCAAATTGTTTGAAGTATGATAATTTAAGATATGCCACCTTATAGCCCCATCTTTTTTCTATCTCAAGTAGAAAATGTAATTGAATAAATGTTATAGAACTCGAGAAAATTACAGAAAAAGTTGTCACAAATTAACCCAATAGGTTGGGGTTACTTTATGACAGTTTTTGTAAATATATCACACACGCTTTGTTTAAAAAAAATAAAAAGTATATATATTTGAGAGAAAAAACATATATTTGAGAAAAAAAAACACATACAATTTCCGAAAACAAACTCTAATTGGCATTAACTAGGTATATAAGGTTAGGCTTGAAACAACAAAATGTTTATTATTACAAACATTATAAAAAAGTTATTGTTACTTAAGAATGTCTTTCAATTCTGGAACGTCAAATAAGGCTCACTTTCCACGCTGCATTGGAGCGTTTATACCCATAACAATTTCATCGTTCCTATAAAATATCTCGTCCTTCTTAAGAGGCCACTTCCATGGTTTTCAAGCGCGTTCCATCACATTTACGGTTGCTTCTACCGTCGAGACATTAGTAATTTCACCAGGAAAATAGCTTTGCTCCAATTGTACAACTACGTACTTTCCCGTTGATTTCTCCACTTTTTGGGATGGGACATTACTCTCCTCAGTGGGCTGTTCATCTCCATCATCGAAAAAATGGTCATCACTTATACTGTCATCACTCTCCATGTATTTAACTTCGTCCTTATTTTCACTAGAACTATCTGATGATGATCTGTCAACCGACGTTTTCTCTGACGGATGCCAGAAGTTCCACGCTCAGGATCAATAGTTTTTGTCGTATTTTCAACAGTAAGTGTATCATTGTTAAAGTCCCTACTGCATAAATATGCTTTTACCTGGTGGCACGTTCAGACGTTTCCTTCTTTTTACCTGTCTCTTTTTCGTTGTTTCTGTCCTTACATTGGTAATGTGTGTGTAAAACTGTTTCCAACATGCTCAGTTATTTCGGTATCTGCTGTTACGACACGATAGCATAAACGGTCTAGCACTTGTTCTCGGTCCAAAGGACAAATTCCTGTTTTTCTGAAACCAGATTTTAAATTATCAGGCGCTTTTTCTGACAACTGATTCATTAGATTTTTCAAAAGCCCCGGTAATTCATGCTTTGGTGTAGAAGAAACTCTGCTGCCATAACTACTTGCCTTCCACTCACTCAAAATCTTACGCCATTTTTCCTTCATTGGTCTGAAAAAAGCCATGTCAAGTGGTTGGAGTAGATGCGTGGTATTAGGAGGTAATGCTATAAAACGAATGTAATTAGCTTCGCATTCTTGAATGACTTGCTGATTCAAGTGTGAACTAAGATTGTCTCCTATGATTGCCTTTCGTCATTCTTGACGTTTTAATATTGGAAGTATAAGATGTAAAAACCAATCCTCAAAAATTTGATAGTCAACCCATCCTGAACCCGTCCTATTATATCGCGCGTTTGGCGGTCCATTTCCGGTCCAGGTATTCCATAATTTTTGAGATTTATAATAGACGTAAAGTGGTGCTATTTGACCCTCGGCGTTTCCGCATACCATTAATGAGGTACAGGCTTTAGATGAGCTCCTGATACGTTCAGGATACTTCGTTCCTCTTTTGGTTACTATTTTTGTCCTGGGTCATCAACTGGGTTAGTCTCATCATAATTCCATATATTGCTTGCAGGAATTCCTTCTAACTCAACTTCCAAATTATCGAAGAAGTTATTTATGATTTCTTCATCAGTAGCAGCCCTAGCATGTGAAATGTTCTGCGCAATCTTCTGAGAAAGTTGTGGATGTCGTTTTAGAAACGATTTGACCCAATCACATCCTGGCATATTGTTATAAAAGGTTTAATATTTTTGGCCTGTCGGTCCAAATAGGACAAATGTGCTTACTGGAAAACCAAAAGCTGACACAGTAATTACATGGGCTGCAAATATATGTTCTTCCTCCTCAGTAAACACTTTTTGTTGTCCAGGTTTGTTCTTATGTTTCTCTTTTATTTTCAGCCATAAAGTATTTCAATGGATATTATATTTTTCTGCAGCACCGCGTAGTGAAATCCGTTTAATCCTTATCTCGTGAAGAGCTTTTCCTAATTTTTCTTGTGTATAATTTTTGTGATTGCGACCACCAATTTTTCTTTTCTCTGAAAAATTACATATTTTGCGTTTCAATAATACCTTCATAAACATTCAAGGGGTTACTTTGTGACAATTTTTAAAAAAAAATCTTTGAATATATTTTCTGACCAACACAAAGTTTGCATACAAAACGAAATCCACCTGTTTACTCGATTATCGAGTCGGCTCTGGCACGAGGAGCACAGCTGCACTAGGAGCTATTGATGAAACGGCATAGATGGCGCACCTAGTCCACTACTGAAATATAAAATTTGAATTATACTACCGCCTTTAGCCACTGTCACAAAGTAGGCTGTGGTGTTACAAAGTAGCCCCTCTTTACGGTAGAGTAAAATAATACTTTCAAAACAAGGCCTGAATGGAATACTTCCAATAAATACCTACTATATAATATAAATACGCAGAGCGTATTTGGGTTAATGATAAATAGCACTAATTGGTATACATCTAAATGATTTATTTCCACATGTTGACACCCAAGTAAACATATTTTTAAATTTCAGCCACAAAAATAGTAACCATAACCATTAATAAAAATAATTGCCCACTTAGCTGTAGACAACAACTTGTTCTATAAAAATAGCAAATATTCCATACGATATGATTTAATGGTGAATGGAGTTTTAGAATCTTTAGTAAAGTGTTCAGAAATAGAATGTGGAAGTACTCCACAAGTCACGCGTCGTATTTTGTGGACCATCTAGCTGTAATACATTTATTTAAATAAATTTTAAACGTAGTGCTTTAATGCTAAATACCAGCTATGGTAATGTATCAGTGGAAGATTTCCATCCAGCTTCAGCAAAAAACGTATCAATCTAGGTCTGCGTCTCTCTGTCCGTACTCAAACTTTAGTAAATAGTGCAATTAGTTCTTTAAAAATCAAGTTGTTGAAATTTTGAGACTGAAAGCTAAGGAAAACATTGTGTGAGATGTTGGTGCTTGGTCATTTCAGCTATTGTAGCTTTATTTGTGGGCCTTTTTGAATAGAGCTGATATAAGTAGCTGCTATAGTTTGGTATAACGGATCAGGAAGTATGGCACTACATTACACACGGTCAAAGAGTGAGAATAGCTTAACATGAAAAATAGTAGTCTGTCTAAGTATACACATAAATTGGTCAACAATTCAAATTCTCCTGGTCTGATTAAGCATTTTATACCTCGTAAGGATGCTCGCCATCAAAATGTTAGATCAAAATTGAAGTACTGAGCTTCCAAGATACCACCATGTTCCACAGATTGTTCATTTGTAATACGATCTGTATCCACAATATATTCAAGCTTATAATCATGAGCAAGTTCATATTCATATTGAAACCAGTAGGATCAATGACATCACTTTTTAAAATCAATTTTTTGTTATTTACTTCTTGTTTACCTCTTTCGTAGATAGTTATACGAGCCTCTTCCCACTTCAGTTGGCCCACTTCAAGATTTGTACCAAAATATACATTTATAAACTAAATATGATGAAACTATTTACTTCTAAAACAATTGATTTTCTCAAAAACATTTTAGATACACCCTAGTCGTAAAAAATACATATTTGAAATCACTTAGACCTATAACTAATAGAACATCTGAACAAATAAACAATGTGCGAATAAATGCGCACAGTTAACAAAGCAACAATTCAAAGATTACCATTGGGTAACATCACCTTTATTTTTTATTACGGCTGAAATTCTTTGGAGCATAGTGTTAACCAAGTTTTGGCAAAAATTTGGTGTAAAACAATCCCATATTTCTTGAAGCTTTTGTCTCAGTTCGGTGATTGTACAAGCAGGATGTTCTCGCAGAACCTTTTTCATCTAGTGCCACAAAGTTTCAATAGGTGACAGATCTGGACTGCTAGAAACCCATTTCAAAAGTGGTACATTATTTTCTTCCATCCATTTTATAGCCTTTTTTGAGGTATGGCACGCTGCACCGTCTTGCTGAAACACAAAATCTTGGCCGGATTTCATACATTCTTCCATCACTGGTAAAAGCGATTCTTCTAAAATTGCCAAATAGTTGTTTGTATCCACATTTACATCAATAAAATGAAGTTTTCCTACTCCTTTTGATGACGTACTGCTCCAGACCATAATGGATGCTGGAAATTTCACTTTTCTCTTCAGACAGTCAACATGGAATGCCTCACCTTTTTTTGCGAATAACTCTACTGCGACTGTCACCAATACAAACTTCGAATCGGGCCTCATCAGTCCATTGTATTGCACACTATTGTTGAGGTGTCCATTGTCTATGTTCTTTAGCTCATTTAAGCCGATTTTACCTTTGCAGTCGAGTTAAGAGTGGCTTTTCTTTGGCCTATAAACAAGTTGTGCAACTTTAGGGTTTTTACTTCACTCTTTTTTATAAGAAAACTTACCCTGCAAGTGCTAAATCCCAGTTTGTGGGCCTCTCTATGAGTTGCGGACCACGAAATTCTCCTTCCAACAGCGTCACTCCACAGAGCACTTAATTGTAAATAATTGGCACGCCTGTTTTTCACGATTATTCTTCTTAATGATCTTCGGTCGGCATTTGTGATTGTGATACTTTTTTTCACATATCGTGGCTTAATATTAACTGAACCAGTTACGTTATGTTATATCTTCTAACAATATTTCTCACATTGTACCGCGATAAGTCTAAAAAAGTTGCAATTTCTGAGTTTGATTTCCCAGAATTAAAAAATTTAATTATCAGTAACCGAATTTTCTCACTAATAACCTTTCCTCTACCGATTTTGAAGTTAGATATCAAAAGTGGCTACCTCTCTTTTTAGCATAACATTCACTGCTCCTGTTGTTGTATCTTTGGTATAATAGTAAAAAGTTGAATGGTTCAACTACTGAACCTTGAAATTTTCAAATATCTTCATACCAACCAGTTTCAGCATAATGACGTTTATAGCTTCTTCATTAAGGGAGAACACAAGTCACGCAATCTTATCCTGATGGACTGCCGACTCGTCTCAAATATACCAGGGTCCGTTCTTATTATATGAGATCCAGCATTTATCCTTTTTTGCTGAAGTTGTGCAGAATAGTAGCTTTGGATGGCCTCTGAGAAAATTTAAATCCAGATATCAAGAACGCCATAGGTCAAATGTTTCTGTGAAAATCTTGAAAACAATCATACTGAGGATGCTGGATCTAATGCGATAGGAAACGACCAGTATATTTGAAAGAGTTCGACAGTCTATGACGGGGAGTAACAGCTGGGGATATCCACTTGTACTGAACAGTTTCTTAAAGCTAAGAAGTTTTACCCGTAGATGGATACGTCCCCGTAACAGACGGTCTCTCAGCCGCGATTGAATAATTCAGCTTAAGCTTGTACTAATGCAAAACGAATGATATACTGTTTTTCGGCGAGTGTAGAATAACTGCTTATTATCTGGTAATATTTCAAAATTCCCCATATTCACAAGTGCCATATCATTCTGATGGTTGCGTAAACGCCAGGTAGGCACACCCGTATTTTGTTGTGTTTTTTGTACGCTAAGGATTCATTTTGTACTTGCTGACAACTCTTATGTAGAAAAGCTCCTTCG